GTGGCGTGGCTCACGTGTCTGTCTGGCGTGTAGGTGTGGATGCGGCCTCTTGCCTTGTCGACAACTTGTGAGTACGGCCGTCTGCTGAGCCACAAGATGCGCCTCTCACGCCTCGGGGGCCACTGCCACTGGTGCTGCAAGAACTCATCCGCCATGGAAATGGTCGTGTTGGTCAGCTGGCCCAGGCGTCTTTTGTCCAACGCCTCCACGGTGCCGCTTTTGCTGTTGGTGTCACGCTGAGAGGTGGAGACCTTGAGTGCTGTCAGGACGTGCGTGCGGAAGGCGTGCATGATGGCCGAGCCGCAGAGATTGGAGTGCCCGTCGCCAAGTGGGTGGAACTCGGGGCGGGAATTGCCGCGCAACAGGATGCCATCGGCAAGATGCTTCTGCCAGTTGAGGTTCATGAGGCCCACACCGCCGTGAGCGCCATGGACGAGACGCGAGAAGCACAGCTTGCCCTGATAAAACCGCTGTGTGGCTGGGGATGGGCGTGTGCCGAGGAAGACAGGGGGGTGCGAGGGGAACATCCCAGTCCAGAAGTCAACAAAAGCGCCCGGCGGCTGCTTGTCGACTGTCAGCACACACACACACACACACACAAAAGGAATCCGTGTCCTCTGTTTCTCTCTTGTTAGGTGTGTGTGTGTGCATCCCAGACAGACTTGCGAGGAATTGTGTTTCGAATGGCGACAGTCCGGCCACAGCCAAGGCGATGAAGGCAACCACCGCATCCAGGTGCATCTGGTTGAGGTTGGTCGGATCCCACCTGCGCACACGCCCACATGTGACGCAACACGACACGACACACCCTGAATGACGCACGCACACACGGGTGTGTACCTTTCCAGCACTAGCACAGGATGGCGCACCCAGTCACTCTCATCGCACACCACATGGCCACTTGCATGCGACTCGCCATAATAGTGCAGCTTCTCCAGAAACCGAGCAGGCGGGCTGTCTGGGATGTCTGCTTCCTCCGCCAGCTGCAGGTCGGGAGTACAGCCCGTCTGCACGCCCTCCCACTGGTCTCTGCCGCGCGGTGGCCCCCATCCCTTGCCGCCCGTTGCGTACTGCCACACAGCCGCCCGGATGCCGACGAAGTCACACATGACTCGAGGGAATTTGAAGTCGCCCTTTCTCAGATAGCAGTTGACAGAAGACACAGGGGCGTTGTGGTCCTGGCGGCTTTGGCAGATCTGCACCCGGAAGCCTCGCCAGCGGTCGACAAAAGGCAGGCCGTACCAGTACCGGCAGAGGCCCGGCAGTAGGACAAGGGCTCGGTCGGCCCACTGGATCTCGTCATAGATGAGGGTGGACGCTGAGAGGCTGGATGGAGCCGTTGGCTGATGCTCGTGGTGGGTGCAGTCGGTGACGTTATCCCGCACCAAGGCTGTCATGATGCGGAAAGAGCTGTGATGGCGAGAGTGGAAAACAAGCACGCTGACGGAGATGAACGTGGCGATGACCACGCAGATCTGCACGCACACACACACGCACACACACACACGCGGAGAGAGGGCAGAAGCAGGCGCCCACTCCTGAAGGCAGGGGCGATCGATGGATGGATCTGCCTGCTCCGTACGGCAAGACGCTCCGACGGCCTCATTATCTGTTCATCCCTCGGTTAGTGGTCCAGAAGGCTCCGACACACTACACTGGCGTACCATCCTATCATTCCTCTCAGGAAGCAAGTGAAGGCCGATCTCAAGAGGTTGAAATAATAGTACATGGATCCCATCCATGGCCGCCGAGCCCATCGGAGGCGGCATGCACAGCACTGAGAGCCACATAGTTCTACGTTCCAGTCAGCCAGCCAGCCAGCCAAGAGCTATCTATCGCTAGCGTCGTGTCTGGCCCTGCCCGTGTCTGTCTGTCTGTCTATCCATCGTCCTCCTCCCCCTCGGCCCGCACAGAGTGGTCGGCCGACAGCGCACGCACGCCCCCACTCAGTATCGACGGGAACACACCATTCACGCCACTCGAACACGCCGCTGCCGCAGATGACAGGAAGGCGTGCTGGGGCTGGTGTGGGTGTGGCGGGATGAATGCGCGCGAGGGCAGTGGGGGTGAGGGCGATCCGGAGGGGACTGTCATGAGGTCGGACGGTGCGGGCGATGCGATGCCGCTGCTGCCTGCGAGGAGGTCGGTGGGCAGGGGCACCAGGGAGGCGTACGCGGGGCTCCCGGGGGCGGGCTTCGTGTAGAACTCGTTGAAGTCCAACCGGCTCGCCAGGTAGCTGCACAACAACAACACGCGGTTGCCCGACGGCTGTCTGTCTGTCGACCTGTGTGTGCTGACTGACCTGAGTGAGTCGTTCTTGGTGTCCCTGGAGAGCGCTTGTATGGCTGTGATGAAGTGCTGTAGGTGGTTGCGGTAGTCCTGTCTGATGATGAGAATCTCCTGCAGGGACGCCTCCCACTGCCCGTCGTCACCCAAACCGAAGTACACTTCTCCATCGCCATCGTCACCGTCACCACCGTCATCCTCATCCAAGTCATCGCACTCGCCACCACCACCACCAGCCGCACCATCGCGAGGCGGACTGCACAATGCAATACACACATGGGCAGCATTTCTGTCTGTCTGTCTGCCTGTGGAAGGGCGGCATGGCGTCAGTGACTCATTCACGAACCTGGCTCCTCGTCGCTTGCCGTAGGACTTGGCCAGGGCCTCGTTGAAAATGCCCTTCTGAACACACACACAGAGATGCACCGCACCGTGGTGGATGGTGACGTGAGCGTGAGCATCTCCCCCCGTGCTCGTTTGGTTGTGCCTGTGCGAGTGTGAATCTGATGATGAGGTCAAGGATGGCCTGCAGGCTGGGCAGCGGCGACTGCACCTCACCGCCAGACACGTCACCAGGGTCGGATGAGGAATCTCTCGCGCGCGGCGGTGATGGCGCCCGCCTGCTCGACGCCGACACATCCCTCAGGAAGAGGCCGTCCTGCACACACATAGACAGAGAGACAGACAGACAGACAGACAGATAGAGACGAGGGGGAAATCCGTGCCATCGTCGGATGCATGTACTCGTGCTGACCTGTATTGCGTTGAGGTAGCTGTCGTGCTGCGCTATCACACGATCCAGGTCCGTGCAGCTGACATTATCGACACACACAGACACACACAGCAGGGCATTTGTGCTTTGACTGTTCCCAGCTCTCCCTCGCCGGCTGTGTGTGGCATGGCATGGTGTGTTGGTGTGTTGGTCCCTCCGTAGGTCCCTCCCTACCTGTTTAGGTTGTTCTCGAACTCCTGCCATGCGGTGTCGAGGACCTCGTGCATGAAGTAGGCCTGCAGGTTCTGACTCCAGTGGTACAACTCTGCGCGGAAGCCGTGGCACTACACAGACAACACACATCACATCACACCACAACCACACACGCGAGGATGGTCATGCCCATTGAGCGTGTGCGTTGCGTTGGCGCGTAGTACCTACCATTTTGATTGCGTCGTTGATGGGCTCAGTGGCCATGTGTCCCCTGGCCAGTGCGATCTCAGCTCTATGTGAGGTGGCCATGTGGGCACTCCAAATGCGGCTCAACTCGTGGGACGCCCGCTTCGTCCTAACAATCACAATCACACACACACACATACAGAGGGAGGGAGGGAGGGAGGTGACATCTGGCTGTGTGATGGTTTGGGGTGTGGGCTGCGTCTGTGGGTCACGTCACTTACTTCCAGAGAAGTTGGAAGATCCTGAGGTACTGCTGCATGGCGTCAGGTGTGAAGATGACGTTGAGGGGCGTGCTCACCGCGTAGTCCAACGAGAACACATCCCAACTGACAACCAACACACACACACACACAGAGAATTGTGTGAAATGGGTCCATCCATCCATCCATCTGTCCATCCAGCCAGTGTAAAGGTGGTGGTTCGCTCACCCCAGGTCGCCGATGGACGGCGTGTGCAGCTTGACGGTCAGCCGGTCGAGCGTGTCAGCGGGATGGAACTGCGCGTTAGCTGTCACATGGACACATACATGGATGGATGGATCGACATGATGGATGAGCCACACGCTCACACACGTGTGTGAGGGCAGGCATATGATATGAGTGCAGTGCGTCTGTGTGTCCTCCTTTCCTTCCCCGTGTGTATGTGTGTGTGTGTGGTTCCTTCCATGCCATGCCATGGATACACAACGAACGTACAGTTTCTGAGTGCTGCGTCGAGAATGCCTATGAGGGTGTGTCTGTAGACCTCCCGGGCGCCCCGGTTGAGCTCCTCCTTGGCCAGCTCTATCAACCACTCTATGAAGTCACCCTGACCCAACAAAAGAAACCTGGATGCACCACAAACACACACACCCAAACCAACACACACGTAGCGCGTCCATCTGTGTGTTGTGGTGTAGTGTGTGTCTTGAGTGCTCACGCCCTGAGCGCCTTGAAGTGCTCAAACAGCTTGTATTTCTGCCGCAACAACTCTACCAACCTGATGACACACGGTCACACCCCCAGATCAACCGTTTGCCGCACGAACACCCACCCCCCGTCTGTCTGTCTGTCTGTCTGCTATCGACCTTCTATTCTGCTTCTCTGCGGCCTGGTCGACGAACAGCTGCAGCTGCTGCACGATAGGCGGCAGTGGCGGCACCACACCGCCACTCTCGGCACCACTCTCGCCTGATGCTGATGGCTTGCCCGACGCTGATGTGCGCGCCGGTCGTGTGTGTGGTTTGGATGAGTCCGCTGCCGCGTTGGAGAGGTGCTGGAACTCGAGCCAATCGCCATCTTGACAGCAGTTGCTGTGGGGATGCGTCGGGGTGGGGATTGGTAGGCAGGCTACTGTGCTGTGGTCAGTTTGTTTGTGTCGTGTTTGGTGCGTTGCGTACCGGACGAAGGACACTGATTTGCCGGTGAGTAGGACTTTCCGTGAGGTCTCCAGCGGCAGGTAGACGGGCACTTGCGGCACGTTCAGGTAATACCTGAACGAACCACAGCAAAGAGGGTGAGGTGATCCACGTGAACTGGTGAAATGTCAGTTACTTGTGCCTCCAGAGCTGTCCGTTGGGCACGTGTGGCCACGAGGCGACGAACAGCTCTCCATGGGGGTCTCTGCACACCAAGCACACCAAGCACACCCCACACACCCCACACACAGCTGATGCATTGCATACCGATCGGCGAGCATGCAGCCCCCATACATACGCACCTGAGTTGTCCCTCCTCCATCCACAGGCGTATCATCTCGAGCAGCGGCAGCGTCACGCGCTCCACCAGGTCAGCCATCAGCCCACGGAGCACGGGGTCGCCACGACGAGAGTGCGCTGAACCACCAGCCAGCGACAGACAGGAAGATGCATAGACAGCATAGGATGTGTGTGTGCGTGGGATACACACCGCACCGTATAGGGCGGATGCGAGGCTGCCTCCCTTGTGACACATGGCCGCATCCACCTGCACATCACATACAACACACACTCAAGCCACTAAACAAACTGTCTGTCCCCCATTTAAAGGGATGGCTGAATGACAGGCCGACCCGACGTATCCGACCCACCCTACCAGGCATGCGAGGAGCCTCATGCGCTCGAGGGGCTCCTGCACCCACACGGCCAGCCGCCGGAGTGTGAGGCCGCCCTCGGGGGGCACCTCCATGCCCATCCAACGCTCACCACTGACCCACCGCACGCACCACACACACATGAACAGAATATGATTTGTGTGTGGGATGGGATGGGAGGGAGGTGATGTGCGTTACCCACCTGCAGAGCTGCGGCGTGAGGCTGCTCTCGAGGAGCGCTACGAGCTTGTAGTACTCGGTCAGCTGATCCTTCAACCACTGCAGCCATCATATGCCATGAAGCACACGGACACGTACACATGGCGACACAGTGCGGGCGGGTGGTCTGTGTGTCTGTGTGTGGTGGTTGGCTAACTGACCTGGTTAAAGGCCTGGAACACCAGACCCTCATACGCACCCTGCACACACACACACAGACAAACAGAGTGAATTCAGGTATGGGAGAGGGCACGATATGATCGACGGTTGTGCGAGTCGGCAGCTTAGCTAGCTTACGTATCCCGACGATTTGTTCATGCCGGCGCATATCATCGTGTAGAGATAACCTGAACCCAACCCACTCGCAGGCACCCCACCCAAAGACACGGGATGTGATTGATATACCTGCCTGCCTGCCTGCCTCTGTGTGCAAGGTCAGACCTCCCTACGCACCGCACTCACCGAGCTCAGACAGGGGAGCGATGCAGTCGCGCACGGGGGCAGCAGCGCTCACCTGCACCGATCAAAGCTTGTTCCGTTGCCGTGGTGCCCTTGCTGCCTGGTCTGGTGTACTGTACCCACCCACCCGTGGGTCGAGGAAGAACAGGCCCGTGTTGGGGTCCTTCTTGACATACTGCCCCTCACAGCCTGACAACATACATGCCAACCAACCAACACACGTAAGTCACGTACGTATGTATTGTCGTCCATATGCCATGCGCCCCGCTCACACGCAGCACCGATCGATGGATCGATGTGTGTGTATGTAACGTACCCTGTAACACGAACAGCAGGTCCCGCAGCAGCAAACGCTCAGACACCCCAGGAGCTACTGAACGAATCGAGGGAGGCATATATGAGGGAGGGAAGGACACACAACAAACACGTCAGCTCAGCCAGCACACACATCGATCTCTCCTCCCTCTGTAGTGTACGCCCACGCACAGTATCGCTCATTGGTCTTCTGCAGGATGACCTGGAACCCCCTACTGGCCGCCGTGCCCTCCCCCGGCGCCTCCCTCTCCGTCAACGCAACCTCCAGCCCACCACCACCACCACCCTTAAAGGCAAACGCCCCCGTAGCGGCACCCCCGCCCGCACCTTCCTGCTGTCGGGCCTTGGTCAGCGCCAGGGACGACCCGCCGTCGCTAGGAGGAGCTGCCACCCTCTCAGGCAGCCCGTTGTAGGACGGCGGCACTGTCCCACTGTGGCCATTGAGGGTGGCTGCTCCCGATGATGGGGATGGATGTGGCTGGTGGGCGGGGTTCTGGTTGTGCAGGAGCAGTAGCAGCTTGAGTAGTCTTCTGCGGTGCTGGAGGGGGGTGCGACGTGGCTGCCGGAGCCGGATGAGGGCACGGTCAAGCTTGTGGACCTTGACACTGTCGCCTGACAATCACACACACACACACACACACGCAGATGTGATGTGTGTGGTGCCTGACAACTTCTTTCGTCTTTCGTGTGCTCGTACCTACCTTGCTTGAGGACTGGCCGGCCGCGGAAGAAACGAATAGGTGGATGGATGGATTGGACGGAGGCAGACACAGAAATACCGACACACACTCACGTGTTGGTTCGTTAGTTGATGATGTGATCTGTCCGTCCGTTGCGTACGTGAGTCCTTGATGCGCATGACGAGTGTGTCCTCGGGCTCCGCATCCATGGCCCTGCCCGCCTTCTCCAGCTGCACCTGCGACTTCTGGAAGGCCAAGGCCAGCGCCTTCTGGTCCATCTCACGCCCACACACCTCCTTGACCAGACGCTGAAGCAGCTCGGCCAGACCCGTCACTGACACGCCTGAACTGCTGGTGGTCGTGTTGGCAGGGCCGGAACGGCCCTGCTGGTGGGACTGCATCTTCAGTCGTGGTCCTCGGTGGTGAGTGCGATGACCTGCATCGATGATTTAAATAACCATGGTTTTTGCCAGATGAGCGCAGCAGTGCATGAATCTCTGGTTGAGCGTTTTGCTGGTCGCCCTCCCCTCGGGATGCGAGCTTCAAGCTGTAAACGCAGAGGGATCTGACCATGGGATGCATCAATGTGAATTCATGGATCGATGTCGTTCGTTCAACCAAGCAGCGTAGTGAAGACACATCTCGGTTGTCTGTCTGTGTGTCTGTCTGTCTGTCTGTCTGTCTGAGTGTACCATCCGTCGCCCGCCAGCTACTACACACAGGGGCGTGGCGTCACAGACATACAAACGCCACATGAATCAATAAATAAAAAAATACGGACCTACAGCCAGACGTACGGTACACAACTCGATCACAACGACCGACAAGAAATACATACGACCTCAGAAACTAAGGGGAGATCCACAGCCTCATGCCCTCTCACACACCCGGGGCCTCCCTCGACTACGAACGAATTGCAACGACAAGACGACACACGGCTGTGGTCCACGCATCGCATCATAGCTATGATATCACATGGCAGCGACGGCGAGCACATCGTCTTGGCTGTCAAGGTGCATGGGGAGCATCCAGAGGCCGAACTCGAACAAGGCGGGCGACCCGTCGGGTGCGGTGGGGTGGACGAGGTGGGGCTCGTACACACACGGATACCAACTCACCTCGCCACCCACACCCATGTGCCTGCCATGCCGCGGGCAGCCACACATACAGACACACACATGAATTCTCCTGTCTCTGTGAATGGATGGATGGCTGGATGGCGTGCGTACCGACCTGTGGTCAAGGTGCAAGTGGACGGGCGATTTGATGTGAGCATTGGTGTCGACCTGTATGCCCTGGCCGATGTCGCTGGTGTGTGCGGCGCCCATCAGCTCTTTCACGCTGTAACGAGACGCATTCATCTGCAGCACGGGGGCTGTGGCTGCGGGCGGGGAGGTGGTGTCGCGCTGCTGCAGAGGGAAGGCCTTGAAGTGGGCCGCCTTGATGAGGAGGCAGCTGCCGGCGGTGTGCAGGGCCGCCCACTGCACGTCACACTTGCCGCCATGCTCGGAGGGCTTGACGTAGGGGACGTACTGCTCGTCCACTGTGCTCCGATACACACCCTGCACACGCACACACATCCACACACACGGATACCACAGCATCATCCCATCCACGGCACGGGCGTGGGTTGGGTACATTGCCTCACTGCACTGACCTCGAATGCGCTCGATTTTCTGTCGCTGTAGTTCTCGTGCGGCCCTCTGCCTTTCCACACGAGCTGGCGGAATGTGGGCGGCATCATCATGTGCAGACCCACACGTGGCAGGGGCGGCATGATGGCGGCCGCCTTGGGTGTCACGCACACACGGCATCCGAGATGCACCGCACCAGTGGGGAAGATCGTGTAGTGGTAGTCCACCTGCACAGATAGATGCAATCAGACAGACGGTCCGGTCTGCTTGTGTCAGTCGGTGTGGGCCTCCCTCCCTCCCCAGGTGTGTGTGTGTTACCTCGAAGTAAGGATCGACTGCGTGGTTGGGTGCGATGGTCTGGGAGAAGGACACCTCGGCGACAGTCATGCTGCCGCCCGCTATAGGATCCTCCAGTGTGCGGATGTGCGCATCAAAGTGCACGATTGGCTTGTGCAGCTCGAACAGTTTGGCCTTCTCCCAACGAGACGCGTAGCTGATGCCCTCACGACCTGGAGGTCTGATGAATGACACACACCACACCACACCACACGCACACGCGCATTGTGTGTGCTCTAGGGAATGTACTTGATGCAGTATTTGTTTCCCGTATCCCTCACTTGTGTGTGGCGATTCTCAGTATGTTGCCCAGTCCCCTCGCCAACACCTGGCTGGCAATGTCGAGGGCACCGCCAGCAGTCGCTCCCCCGCGATCGTTGTCAGTCGGGGCCCGCACGAAGCACACCGACGGGCCATGACCATCCCAAATGTACTCAATCGCAAGCTCCCTGACCGCCCACATCGTGAGTCAGGCATACGGAACACATGCATCCTTTTGTCCCGCCCTCCCCATGCCATGCCTACCTGGAAGGCTTCCTCGTGAGGTCACCCCACTCCTGGTGTGACCGTGGAATGGCCACCCATGAGATGAGGCCCCCCAGTCGGCTCCGGTCGAAGGCCAGCTTGAAGTCACCTCCACGCACAGCCACGTAGTCACCGCAGTCCTCTATCGTCAGCTCTCTGTCGGCATCAGCATCAGCAGCAGCACCAACAGCGGGCGGGGCGCGCAGGAGGGCGTGGGGGTCGGGGACGGCTTGAACGGCATCGCGGAGGCTGTCAGTAAGAGTCAGGCGCTCGGTCGCCACCACATGGCTGCACCATGCCAGCAGAGACACACAGCGTTCGTTATGTGGTGCCGCTTGTCTGTCCCGTGCCGGCGTACCCTGCATCGGCCCATTTGGTCGTCTTGGTGAGGATGGCCCTCAGAGTGAGCCACACGTCAGGCATGCAGCCCCCCTTGCCTCTGGGCGGCATCCTGCCCTCGATCGTGACCTCCTCGCATGCACCAGCCTCGACCGCCGGGTACTCGACTGCCCGGCTGTCGTAGAAGTCGAATGCGGTGTCCGTGCTGAATGCAGCCTCCAAGTGGATCATGTCTTGTGTGACGCTCTGGTGGATGTGTCGGTTGGTCACGCGGATCGTGACGGTGACCATGCCGCCACGACCCTGTAGACCTGCCTTGGCACTGAGGAGGTGGAAAGCCAAAGGCTGGTAGAAGTACTTGACCTCGTGCATGCAGGGCTTGATGGTGCGGTCGGGCAGCACAAGGCCGTTGATGTTGAAGTTGGCATCGTTGATGGTGTCGCCGAAGTCGCCGCCATAGGCCCAGCACTCGATCTTGTTGAAGGTCTTGGGGACGCCCTGGTCGACCCAGTCCCATATGAAGCCGCCCTGCAGGTTTGCGTGGCGGCTGAAGACCTCCCAGTAGTCCCTGAAGCTGCCGTTGGAGTTGCCCATGGCGTGCTGGTACTCGCACAGGATCATCGGACGCCTGTCTGCCTGCTGCTTGCCGTACTGCTCCACCACCTCGACAGGCGGATACATGGGGCACTTGATGTCCGACACCTCTACGGGCGACCCGTCACACTCATACTGCACCGGCCGGGTGGGGTCGTATCGCTTCAGCCACCGGTAAGCCGCCCGCACGTTTGGCCCGGTGCCGGCCTCGTTGCCGAGCGACCATACGATAATGGACGGATGGTTCTTGTCCCGCTGGGCCATGCGGGTGACTCGAGCCAGCCACTGGTTGCGGTACTCGGGGTCTGACGCCAGGCGGCCGAAGGGAATTTCACTCTGGTTGAAGAGAATGTACCTGTGGGAGACAGACGGGGAGGGGCGATTGTGGCGTGCGGTGTGTGTACGCGTGGGTGTTACTTGGCGATGGGCGAGTAGCCAGTGGGCGTGTCGCCATGGCACTCAATGTTGGCCTCGTCGACAACTGATCACACGTGCAGTGCACACAGGCAGGCGGATAAGGCATTGCAATGGGGAGGCATATGATGTATGTGTGTGTTGTGGTCGTCTGACCGAAGAGGCCGAGTTCGTCGCACATGTCGTAGAGGAAGGGTGCGTTGGGGTAGTGCGACGTCCGGACGGCATTGATGTTGTGCTGCTTCATCAGACGCAAATCGTCCCACGCCGACTGAAGCGACACCGCCTTGCCTGAGCCACAGGACACACATCAAGACGCCACGCTCATCCAGCCCTTGTCATCCCATGGTCTGGTTGCTCTCTGCACCTGCTTTTGGGTCATGCTCATGTCGGTTGACGCCCCTGACGACAATCGGCCGGCCGTTGACCATCAGCTGGCTGTCGCATATCTCCACCGTGCGGAAGCCGACCCTCACGCCCTCCCACTGCAACGCCTCATGCTGGCCCCCCTCCACCAGACCGATTGTCAGGAAATACAAACTGGGCGTCTCGGCGGTCCAGGGCCGGACAGACGGCACACGAACCGTCCATTCGACACATGCGCCATGCTCCTGGTCCCTGATTGTCTCGGCCAGGAGGGGGGTCTCTTCGCGGCGCGTGGATGTTGGTGCATCGGGTGCTGTCCGTTGACCGCTTGTGACGTTCTCTGTGTGCTCGAAAATCGGCGACATGGCCTGGTTGACACATGACGATCAGATCTCTGTGGACGGAGCAAGATGCTAGCGGCGTGTGTGGTGATTTACCGGCAATCGGATGTCTTGTGGAGTCGACGGGTCCATGGTGAGGCCCTCCCAATCGTAGAGGCGGAACTGGACAGAGTAGCTCCTGCCGTCCTCGAGGCCGGCAAGCTGCACACGAGCCTTCAATATGCCATCCCTGCACACACACGCATATATATGTACACGTACGCCCTTGCTGTTCGTTCCTCTTTGCTGTCTTACTGGTATTTGTTGTCAAGCGTGGCCTGCACGCCGTAGTCGCTGATGGCCGTGACGGGTGCCGCGAAAAGCTCAACGTCTCTGAATATCCCCGACGTCCACCAGTGGTCCTGATCTTCGATGTAGCTGCCGTCAGAGAACCGCATGACCTGCACTGCGATCGTGTTGGTGGCGTCGTCTCCAAGCCTCACCAGAGCCGTGACGTCGAACTCGCTGGGCATGAAGGAGTCCTGCGCATAGCCCACCGGCTGGCCATTGACCCACACGTAGTAGGCCGACGACACGCCGCCAAAGGTGAGGAGGATGCGGCGGCCGGCCCAGGATGACGGCAGAGAGAAGTCCCTGAGGTAGCAGCCTGTTGGGTTGTCGCTCGCCGGCACGTATGGAGGGTTGCACACAAACGGATACCTACAAGAACCACGAGCAGAGAGAGGAAATGGCACACATCTATGGTTGGGCCCTCCGGCTGGCGTTGCCCCCTTCCGCCCTGCCTCACTTGACGTTGGTGTAGATGAGGTGTGAGTATCCCTCGAATTCCCAGTTGGATGGCACGTTGATGCGGTCCCAGTCCCTCTCACTCCCGGCACGCTTGTAGAACTCACGCCAATCCACATTGCCTGCCAGCGCGGTGGGCGACGGAAACAGTTTGAACCGCCACTGGCCGTTCAGACACTTGGTCTGCTGCGGCCTGGCGCCCTCCTCAGGCATGGACCGTCGTGGGTGGTAGGTCTTGAGGGCCATTGCAGCCGACTCAGAGGGATGGTAGGAGAGGGGGCTGTGCATGGGCAGCCGATTCTTGCCATAAACCTGAGTGAGGACCAGAACACGCGCAGGCAGTCCAGAGACTATGCAGCTCACCCTCTCAGACTGTGATCCTCCAGCATCTGGGTGTACCTGTGGGTTCTGCCAGTCCTTCTTGCGCCTCGCGTCCGTCATGACGACACCCAAGAGATAGCAGACAGCAGCGGCCGCAAGCTTCACCCACAAAGGCATGTGCAGCCCGATCACGAGCATCACACAGCTCACTGCAGCGGAATGGAAAACAGCCCGTCTGAAGCACTGCCAGTGCCTCCCCGTGGACAGCACAAGCCACTGAAGGTCCTCAAAGTAGCGGACTTGCCACACGAGCGCCAGCCAGGCAGTAAAGGCCGCCAGCGACCACAGGGGGTACTGCAGGATGGCAGATCCCATCGCCAAGCTGGCCACTGCGCAGAACCATGGCGATAGCAAGATGGGCGAGAATGCCGTTCGGCTGCAGCCCATCCTGCCGCTCTGGCGCTGACACTCGCGAGACGGCGAGTCGGTTGTTGCTGTTTCAGGCGACGATGGGCTCCCGGTTGCTTGCTTGCTTTCGACGAGCAGTTCCCTCAGCTCCTCACTCCTCCCGGTAGGAGAGGAAGATTCGAGCATTCGATCGGCATCTCATCTGCGAGCTTGGCCATATTTTTCTGCGTGCATGCGGGAAGAAAACACCGCACAGCGCCAGTGTTCGAGCTCGAGTCAATAGCCAGCCCGCGACACCTGACAGAAACGGCTGCCTCAGGCTGCCTATGGCGTCCGGCGAGTCGGCGGGTCCCCCAGCAGATGCAAAGTCGGCAGTGAGAGGGCTCGCGGATCAGTCCCTGCTGCTGCAGCTGAGGGTCGCAGGCTCGGATGCCCGACTGCAGGCAGCCGCCGCCCGTGGTATTCTGAGTCTCTCGACCAAGTGTCGGCCCTCACCGCAGCTTCCTCTCGATGAATTCAAGCAGCGGGCGACCACCTTATCGCAGATCAAAGCGGCTCAAGGGGTGTCAGATTTGGTGGATGCGGCCATCTTCACCCTCCTCTCATCAGCGATGCCCAAGATGGGCAACTCATCGATGCGGGACCACCTGCTGACCGACCACGTCGATCTGGTCAGGCGGGCCGAAGCTGCGTTCGCGAAGGCTGAGGCAGCTGAATTCCTGATCCGGCTCTACCATCCCGTGTCACCGCTGGCCCACATCCCTCCCGCCTCGTGGATGAAGGCGTTTGACATGGTGGTGGACATGGCGGTGAGCGACGCTGGGCTGACTGGCCGGGCATTCGAGAGCACTTCTGAGACGTTAGCCGTCCCGTCTTCGTCGCCCTTTTACGGCTCTGGTGGCACGTGTCCCGTTTACATTAGCAGTACGGGTGATAGCGGTGGCCGGCTGCTGTCATGGCTACTCAGCAACAGGATATACGGGACACTCGGTCACATGACTCGAACAGGTCGGTGCAGGGTGAGAGCGAAGGAGTGAGCGAGGCTATGTGCTGGTGGCTGCGCAGCAATTCCGCTATGGATGGGTTTATCTCTGTTGCTGGTATTGTTGCTGCGTATTGTGTTCAGGTGCACAGGAGCAGGCCATGTCGGCTGTCCGTCAGTACACGTGTCCGCATGCCGCCCGCCTCGTCGACGTGCTGGTGTCCGACACTGCTCCAGATCCCATCAAGTGGAACGCATTCGTCGTGCTGGGTAAGTCAGAAAGGACACAGAGGAGCCCTCCGCTCCCCTTGCAGAAACTGCTTCATCCATCGTACTGCTTGGACGGCCATAGGTTTCATCTTTGCGTCAGCCCACATGTGCACAAGAGGGCCAGAGGACAGCAGCCAGCTGAGGAAGGTGCTGAAGGAGCCCACCCGTCTGCTGCTCAAAGACGACATGAGGGGGCTCAAAGCTACAGCCGAGGTGCTTAAGAAGTGCTATGAGATCGACCTGCTGGACGTTGAGGGCGATTTCCCCACCAGCATCCCTCTCCACCTCGTCACTGGTGAGAACCGAGCTAGACACACAAGCCGTCAATTGTTGGCTCGCGTGTATGTCTGTGTGGGTGCATGTATGTGTGTTTGCATCAATCAAGAGTTTGGCCACGCCCGGCACGTCCTAGAGGCGGGCTACCTGCCTGCCCTGTTGAGCCTGCTCGACGACGAGCGGTTTGGCAGACATCGCTTCCACGGGCGGGCCATGGTGGTGGGAGTGATGGCCATCAAGCATATCGTTGCCAGCGACAGCACGGTCAGTCAGTCGACACCTGAGCGGGACTGAAACCATGGTGTTTCTACATCATGTGTGTGTGCGTCAGGTTGGGACCAATGCGGATGTCGCCGCCATGCTCTGTCGTCTGCTGCGCCGCCATGCCACTGGCGAGGTCGAGCCCCAAGGCGCAGGGGCAGACGTAGTCATCGACGACATTGTCGAAGCGTTGCTGTTCATGCTAGGGTAAGTAAGGGGTGGACCAAGATCTGCATTGCCGGTGGATGCCCCACTCATGGATCGATCGGTTCTATGTGTGAGTCAGGCATGGTTCGGATGCGATGGCGACCGATCTGGCAGGGAAAATGCCACAGCATGGCACCATTGACCTCGTCGGCAGCAGCGTCATCGCACAGCAAACCATGAAAGTATGTAAGGGCAAATTGACGGATCGATCGGCAGCCCTGGGTGCCGTGCTGGTGTGGGTACAGATGCTGTCTGAGTGGGTGCCCGGCAGTGGACCACACCGGCGGCTCAAAGTGCATCCAAAGGTGGGCGACAGAGGACTGTTTCAGCGATTGATCCGGTCCACATGTCTGTCGGCAGGTGGCGTGCCTCTTCGAGATGCTCAAGACGACCACGGCATTTCGTGCCAACGTCGTCGATCGGCCACCCGACCGTGACCAGACACCTCAAGGGAGAAGCACCACAGGCAGGGCCGACGCCGCCCAGCGTCCGGCGAGGAGCGGTGACAACGGGGGCGAAGGGACGCACAGCACCGACCGAGCTGCGCCTGCGTCACCAAAAACCCCTTCGTCCCCCCTCGACAAGTGGAAGGACATCGGGAACGCACTCTTTGGAAAGCACAAGTACCTCGACGCCTACCGGGCATACATGAAGGTAGGTACATACACCCAGGGCAGGAGGGGAGGGCAACACAGAAGTGCAAGGAAAGCCGCGTTGTTTGTGTGCCGCAGGGCGTCCGTTTGGCGAATCTCGAGCCCGTCTCTGAGCTGCTGGTCCGCCGCGCACAGTGCCGCATGGGTGTGGGAGACTGTGTGGGTGCGATGATCGACGTCACCACTGCCCTCCGCATTCTCCCGCCGCCCCCATCTGTCGAGCCCGGCAGCAAGTCGGCCATCATCCAGCAGACGGCGGTGGAGGTTGTGTACACACCGCTCGTCATGCGGTGGCTCAACGGCCTCGATACCGCCACCGGTGGTGGTGATGTGATGGTCCTGCCGTCGGAGGAGACGACAGCAGCCTTCATGAAGGACGCCATGCAGTACCTGTCCGCGCAGGTCGAGGCGGCGGGACCATCTGAGCCACTCGAGGTGGCCAATGCCCTCGCGGCAGGCGAGCAGCTGCAGGAGGAGGGCAGATATGCGGAGGCACGTGACACATTCACGGCCGGTCTTGCCGGTGCTGATGTGTCGACGCTCATCGCGCTGCTGAGCAACGCCTCGGCGTGTCTGCTCAAGCCAGAGCTGACGAGGGAGGGGGGCCCGGACGCAGTCGGGTGTGCGGCCGCCGCCCTCCATCTGAGCTGTCTGCATCACGATCCCTCCCAGCAGCCGATCACCATCCAGCAGAAGTGCCTCGTGCGGCTGGGCCAGGGGCTGCTGGCCGAGCGGCTCTTCGACGCTGCTGATGTCATTGGCAGGGCCATCAAGAAACACGTGAGTGGGGGAGGGGGGGAATGACGGAAAAGGGGGATGATGTGTGTGGTGGTGCGTGTGCGTGTTGCAGGCATCGCAGGGTCAGATGAGGATCGAGGCCGACACACTGCATCAACGTGTCCGCACCCACCGGGCCAATGCTAATGGCTTCTTTGACTGGGCCGCCATCTACCGTCAGCAGCTCGACAGCAACATAGCTATGCAGCACGGCAGACCCCCCACATCCATTGACGTGGCCGAGTACGTCGGCCCCGTGGCTGTGCGACACGACGAGGCCCAGCAGCCCAGCCTCTATGCGAAGGAGGACATCCAAGTGGGCCAGCTGCTGCTCGTCCAAAAGCCCGTCGTCCTCTCCTCCGGTGATTTCGCATCGCTGACGAGCTCCGACGGCTACAGACAGCTGATGGCGGCGTGCAAGGACGGCTGGCATCCCCGGCTGGTGTCGCAGCTGTGCTGTCTGTCAGAGGGCCAGCGGCGTCTCCCGGCCCTCGCGGCCCCGCCGTCCCACGAGACGTGTCTTGGCCTGGCCCCTGGTTTCCCCCTGCTGCCCCGCTTCATACAGTCCCATGGTGCGGAGGAGTTCGGCTCACCTGTGGCCCAGGTCGATGGCGACAGCATTCCCCAACTCGTGACCTTCAACCATCGCACTAGTGGCACCATCCGTAGCTGTTTCCCTGGTGTGCTGAGTGCTCCTGATGACATCAAGTCCTCTCTGGCATCAGGGGTGTGGATACTGCCGTCCCTCATCAGACATGCGAGATTCGACAGGAATGCCATATGGTACAGTACGCACCAAGCACCACGGGAGGGAGACCCGCCCCATTCCGCCACATTGGACGTGTGTGTGTCTGCATCTGCTATGGTCAGGTATGTGGTGGGCGACTTGCTGGTCGTGAGGTGCGTGCGTCCCATCAGCGGCGGCGGCGGCGTGACCGCCGACTACTTCGACGACGGATATGTCTTTGACGCCAACGATTGTGTGGACAACGGCGACGCCATTTCGATGGCCGAGCGGTGGGCGATCCCCTCCCCTGTGCAGCACTACGAGAGGCACAGCCAAGAGGCCATCACGGCAATCAGCATGGAGATCCACCGCGTCACCACCCTTCGTCGGGGCGGGACGTCGCGCACGGCTGTCCAGAGAGATTGGGACGCCCTCGTGAGGAAGGTGGAGACCCTGCAGCAGTCGATGCCGTCCGACGTGCCCACAATGGGGGCCAGTCAGCTGCACATCTTCCGGGGCGCCCTTCTCGCTGGGCTGGGACGGCACGAGGAGGCCAGCGAGGCGGCGATCGAGGCTGTCAAGACCGCACGGGCGGTGCGGTCAATCGCCGTTGAAGACTGCCGCTGTCTCTCGACGGCCGTCCGTTCTGCACCACATGGTTCTCAGCTGTGTCATGTGATGCTAGAGGAGCTACGCAGCACTTGTGCCCTCCTCTTGGGCACACGCGAGGCAGCGACTATCATCTTCCTCAATGAGCAGAGCTGAGAGCGTGTCTGATAGGCCTGCCTTGCTGGCTGCAGCGAGGGGGTTTCGCCCGGGCGGTGCGGTCGATCGCCGTTCAAGATCTGCGCAGGACGTGCGAGCTGATCTTCGGCACACCCGATGCAGCGACCATCCTCTTCACATTTAGATGAGAGAGAGAGAGAGCGTCTGCGTGAGAGGCCTGCCTGCTTGCCTGCCTGCAGCACGGCAGCTTGACGGATAGCTTGATGGATCCGGGCGGGAGGGTTGATGGTTGTGTAAAAAGCTTGGCGACGGCTCCTGCCTGTGGATGGATTCTTAGGCAGTCAACTCAACTCAACGTTCATTGCACTCACTGCACCGTGCATCCATCCATGCATTGTCTCACACATACATATATGATTTGGAACCCAACCGACACCTACACATTTATTCTACGCGCCCTCAAAAGTGTGCAGCAGAAGTGTACACTTACATACCGACATCAGCACAGTAGATCGACACAGATTGGCCACCGCAACCCGACGACACCGACATTCACACATAAATGAAGCTAGGCAGGCATCTCGAAGAAAGCGCCATAAAAGCCTTCTCTATTTACCGACAGCTTGACATGCGACAGACAACAGACTTCGCGAATGCGCCACTATATACCCTTCCAATCCACTTCCTCTGCTTTCCGTCTGTCCATCCCCTACAGGCACTGCCGCTCTCCTCTCACGCCATGCCGTGCAATTGCCCCTTCAGTCAACGGGTCACTCAATCACGAGAGTATGGCGTTGGCCCATCCAGTGATGGCCTGCCTGCCGACACAAAGGGCACCGCTGCAGCCCCCCCCTCGCACCCCTGGCACACGCAGGGGTGCAGCACCACGCGCCGCTCCGTCTCGTCGCACACCTGGCACGCTGTCGCCTTGTCCCGCGCCGCCCGGCTGCGGTTCTCCACCTCGTGCTGCATCTGCTGGCGCAATTCGGCCTCTAGCTTCTGCTGGGCGGCGTGCCAGGCGCGGCGCTCGAGGGACTGCAGCTGGGATTGCTCGGTGCTGAGGGCCGTCTGGCGGTCCGCAAGCTGCATGGCGAAGCCGATCAGCTCATCAGCAGTCGTCAGCTGGGCGAAGGTCTCTGTCAGTCTGTGAGAGCATGGGGAGGCAGAATTACCTGTGTATGTGTGCGTGTGTGTGTGTCTGTCTTCTTGCTGCCATTGTGTGGGTGCTTACCTGTCGAATCGGATCTGGTTGGCTTGCATCTCAAGCACGTCGGCCTGCAGCGCCCGGTTGGCCTCATACAGAGTGTCAAACCACACACACACAGAAAGGGAGAGAGAGAGTGGCCGAGTGCGTACGCTTTCTGGTGCTCGTGCAGCCATACCTGGCGGCCTCCAGCCCCTTCGCCGCATAGGCCCTTGACGCACGGAGGCAGACAACACAACATGGTGACCTCTTCGCCCGGGGATTGTGTGCTCACCGGCGAGATTAGCTCGCGAGTGCCAAGCTCGCAGATTCATTTCGAGAGATCTGCGCGAGAGAAGGCAGATGGAGCTCTCCATCTTGACGTACTGACATCGTGTGATTGCATCCTACTGATCCCGTCGCCGCTGGATCAGGATGTCCATCAAGCGCCGGCTGTCCTACTGGGACATACCGGACCGATACCGTCTGGAGAAGCCGCTGGGCAGTGGGGCGTACGGCGCAGGTGAGAAAGGTGGAGAGAATGGGGGAAAGGGAGAGCCACGTGTTGACTAGGATTGTGTGTGCCTGTTGGATGGTTGGTTGTGTGGGTGCAGTCCATCAGGCGTTCTGCACCAAGGAGGGGAAGACGGTGGCCATCAAGAAGATTACAGGGCTGTTTGGCGACCGGTTCGACGCCAAGAGGGTGCTGCGTGAGATTTGCATCTTGGGGAGGCTGGAGCACGACCACATTGTCAAGATCGTCGACCTCTGCGTGCCATCCGACATGCACAGCTTCGATGTGAGTCAACACAGACAGCATATGCCACGGCACGGCACGGCACGGACAGCGGCGTAGTGTGGGTGTCTGGTGTGGTACTGTGTCAGGATCTGTTCGTGGTGATGGAGCTGGCAGATGCCGACCTGGGCAAGCTCTACAGGACAAACGTCTTTCTGTCGGTCAGTCCGTCCGTCACACACAACACAACAGCCACCTGCAGACAGACACGATGGATGCATATACATGCGGATGGGTGACTGCGTGGCTGTCTGCAGGAGATCCACGTCAAGACTTTGCTGTACAACCTGATCCTGGGTGTGAGGTACCTGCACTCGGCCGGCGTCTACCACCGCGACATCAAGCCGGCCAACTGCCTCTGCTACCGCGACTGCTCCGTCAAGCTGTGCGACTTCGGACTCGCCCGCACCGTCGAGCAGCCTGAGGACATGAAGGAGTCATACAACCTGCTCGACTCGCGAATGTCAGTGGGCGAGCCAAAGAGAGAGGAAGCAAGCAAATGGGGCGGGGCGTTGTTGATGTCACTTTTGCATTTGTGTGTTGTTGTGTGCTGTGCAGGGGTGACGAGGATGTGGGCGTGTCAACTGCCACCATGTGAGTGGGGGGTCCAGGCAGGGGGCGGCGCCCAACTGCGGCATGACGATGGCTTTTGTGGTGTGTGTTGTTGTGTTACTGTAGGGACGCCACCTTTGAGAACGCCACCATGAGCTACCAGCTGCAGCAGGAGGACCAGGCCAGACGGAAACCAGTCAACAGAAAGTAACCATAACCACTCACTCCCACAGACACTCACATACACCCACAAACAACGCCTTGATTATCCTCATCTGCTCTTGGCTGTGTGTGTGTGCCATGTCACCAATCAGGATGACAGTGGGTCATGGCGCCGGTCCCCTGGCCCGCATGCGCACCGGATTCGGTGCGGCGCTGGCCCAGCACCGCAGCCGCGCCAAGGTCAGCGGCTCCCAGAGCGCCAACACCAACTCCCTCTCCGGCCTGGTCTCCCCCGACCCGCAGAGCGCCGAGGACGGTGCCGAGGCCGTCCCCATGGAAGTCGACAACCCCTCCCCCTCACCAGTAGCGGCCACCAACAACAACCCGCCGTACGACCCCTTCAAGGCCTCGAACGCCTCGCTCAACTCGGCCATGGTCAACGCGTCCATGCCTTTGCCTGGTGTTGCGTCTAGTGGGGTGGTGAAGCGGGCGGGGACGGTGGGGGTGCACGGCCAGTCGCGGCTCAACATGAAGGGGCTGGTGGAGCTATTCAGGAGCAGATCCAAGAACGTCGCGAAACCCAAACAACAGAAGCTCAGACGGGCGCTCACCGTCAGGGTCGTCACCAGGTGAAGAATGAAATGATGGGTGGGGGGATGGACGAAAGAAAGAGGTGGCAATATTTTGTCTGGGTATGGTGTGTGCAGGCAGTACCGTTCGCCCGAGTTGATCCTGCAGAATGAGCACTACGACGAGGGAATCGACGTCTGGTCAGTCAGTGACCGGCCGCATACAGACAGACATGCGCATGCATACTGGCTTGCTCTCTTGACGATCACACCATCGACTGTGTGTGCGTCGGTCTGGACAGGTCGATTGGGTGCATCTTCGGGGAGCTTTATCTCATGATGGTGAGTCGTCAAAGCGCCTGCCTTTGTGCAGCCAACCGAGTCCGTCACCTCTGTCTCTCCCTCCCTTGTGTGTGTATCCCCCCCTTGATCGGCCAGCGTGAGCATCTGGCGTTTGCCCGCATGCGTCGGCCGCTCTTCCCCGGCACCACCTCCCTCATGTCACCCAGGAGCAGATCAAAGGCCATGGAACTCGAGTCGGTGACAGTGACAGTCACCATGGAGGGATGGCACCACACGAAATCGGACCAGACAACCAACCACCTTGACGTGTCTGTGTGCCACCCTATATGTGTAGGATTCCGATGGGTGACCAGCTCAACTGCATCTTCAACGTGTTGGGCACCCCCACGGAGGATGACCTCCAGGAAATCGAAAAGGACGAGTCCAAGAAGTAC